CCGTCTGGGATTAATTGTTCTCTTGATAAAAGACGGCACGAGCGCTATATCCAGTATAGGTAGGAGAGATCTAGCATACCTAAGAAAGTTCCCTTTCATCACTGTCTGATTTAATTAAAAAAATGTGTTTATTGCACAGTAATACATTCCCAAAGCACTCATAAATCGAGTCTATGCGTACTTATATGAACATTCGGTTATAAGGATGTTTTTACTTTACAAACTAGTTGCCTATAAAGGTAATGGATAGCGTGTTGATTGTGTTTCGAATTACTGCTTCATAAAAATACACAAAAGGTAGGGGAGTCTGAAATGTCATCAATGCCGGTTTAGAATGGTTTAAAAACGAACATGTTTTCTTATTGCTATTTTAAAACGCATCATTATCCACTTCGGGTTGCTTCTCTCAAACTATTTTGTAAAATAAAAGCAAATATCATTATGGCATTAAAACATTTCCAGTACGTTTAACGTTTTACGTGCACATTGATATCCATAGTGTTAACTCTCTAAGTACGGTCGAGCTCACCGATAGCATGCATTATTTATCTAAAAATAATATGAGTTCACATTTACACTATTCTTGACCACGGGGTTAAGACATAAAGAATTGTACTTTGTTTTCATTTTAGATTTAAAACATCTCATTCTTTTTTTAACTATGTACCTGATAGATTTGACCCATTCTGAAAATGCGTCTTATCCAGCATGCTCTCATTTTGCCCATTGTCTGGCTTAGTCTTCATCAAAATCCATAAGTACGTTTTTGTATCTTGTATTTTACATTCCAGTTGATAGTAGGAGTCTCTCGATACAACAACTGCATGTCCAGCCGGACCATACTTGTAGGTGGACATGGAACAAGAACATGGTGATGGCGGAGTAATTCTAAGGTCATCTATATTCCGCAAACATGATCAGAGATCAGCTACTATAAACATTGATCATAAATCAGCCCCTAACAACGATCACAGATATTTGCTGATATTACTGATTATAGAAAAACTCATGTAAACATTGGTAAAATACCGGCTACTTTTAAAAATTCGACAGATCAGCTTCTCTAAACACTGATGAATAGTAGATAAGCTGATGTGAGCAATTATCACAGATCCACTGAGGTAAATAATGATAAACATCGATATCAGTTCGCAGACAACAACTATAAGGGAATACATAGCGTTCGTCAACAGTGTATGAAACTCAATAAATGCATTTTATAAGCCGAAGGACATTTTAGAAACGGATCATGTTTATATAACTGTGGATGTTGCGAATCTTTTCGACATCAGCCATTGGATTTCAAAATACAATTTTCTGATACAACAGAATTCTCGATTCTGGTGACCTTGTGTGATCTGTATGTCTGTGATCATTAGAGGAAAGGCGTGGCGGTAATATGGCTATCTAATGAGACTAGTCTGGACCACGGCATGACCGATTTCACCATGGTCACCAATTAAGGGCAATGTCAGGAACTATACGACAATCATAGACACTGCATTAGAGTGCTTATCCTTCATCGTCATTTTAGATGTTCATTTCGTCATGAAACAATAAATAATAACACCACACAATGTAAAATCGATGATCGTTGCATCAATATTACCTTTTCTATGTGAATATCTCTTTCATGAAAGCGTTCTTTCATTTATCGCCAAAATGCTTTGGTCCCGAAAGTTCCTTGGTGCTGAGTATATTGCCAGTGAAAAGTTATAGATCTCAAATCAAATATATCTCTGCTGGACTTTGCAATAGTTACTTATTGGTCAATATCGCACTTATTGACAGGCAGTGCTTTGACTGGTCGGTACGCAGGGCTTTGAACTAGCTAAAATGAGCAATTAAGTGGACGAGGCGGAAACGAAACCCACATGAGACGAGAGTGATTTATCAAATATCCCAGCAGCTGACGCCTGACAGACCCGCATCACAAGTGAAGACAAACGGTTTATGCTTTATGTCGTAAATTTTCTGCCTCCGAAAAGGCATTGTGTGTTGTAAATATGTGAGATTATTAGTGGGTGTCTATACTATGGCATTGTGTGTTGTAAATATGTGAGATTATTAGTGGTTGTCTATACTATGGCATTGTATGTTGTAAATATGTGAGATTATTAGTGGGTGTCTATGTGAGATTATTAGTGGGTGTCTACGTGAAATTATTAGTGGGTGTCTATGTGAGATTATATCTATGTGAGATTATTAGTGGGTGTCTATGTGAGATTCTTAGTGGGTGTCTATGTGAGATTATTAGTGGGTGTGTATGTGAGATTATTAGCGCGTGTCTATGTGAGATTATTAGTGGGTGTCTATGTGAGATTATTAGTGGGTGTCTATACTATGGCATTGCTAATAAGGCACCAGTTTGCAATATGTGAACTAAATGTGCACTTACAGAGCCTGGATTTATAACTATGCGATGCAATATATCGGAAATGTACCTGTTCTGGATGATCTCTATTCATCGCCAAGGACAGGTCGATAAAATAAAACGAGTTATTGTAGTAACACAGTAGTCGGTAGTTGTCAAATGGGATTTGGATTTTTCAGATTTTGACATGTACCAGTATTTTACTTCCCGAACATCCCTCTTTTAATAAAACTATAAAATCTTGTTAATAACAACATGTACGTGAATGCTACATGTTCTTTTTGTTGTGTTCGTATTTCTAACAGCTCATTTTAGTGCAATACCACTTGAAAACTACAAAACAGAAATTGTCATGCCCAACGCTTAGCAATACACACCATCCAATACCGGCTATGTTCAGCAGCAAAAGAAAATGTCTAATTCTGTTGTGTGCCCATTTCCCGTAATTTTGGAATGTGCGCAATTTACATACATGTACCTATTTTTTATATATGTTCTTTATCATTGGTTTACATAACCATAAAACTATCGTTCATATGTTCATTTATAATCCATAACTAATAATGAAAAAACGTAATGTTATAACTTATCGTAGACAAATAAAGTCCTGGCAGCATTTGTTTTGCCATGTTCAATAGTGTGACGTAATAGGTATTTAATTTTGCCGATTTAACATTGCTGGTGTGGGCCACTCACTCTGACAAAAGCATAACACCTCTTTATCGACAGCCAAATGGCCGTATAATAGGTAATTCTGGTCTGTATAGATACTGTTATATGCTAGTAAACGGATGTTGAAAATCTTAGCGATCTACATTTAGCAGAAACTGGGAATGCGAAAAGGTGCTTTAGAAATGAATCAAATATTGAGCATGGTATTATCTACAGGAATGAAATACAGGTATCAAGTAGTGCATATGACCGATTTTATTTGTTTATCAGTGTCTGGCTTCTGGCCTTTTCGTATACGAGAACTGTTGGTATTTCGTACTGAACGGCTTTGTAGCCGGCCAGCGTCCTCTGTGATCTCTGCGACCTCGTACACGATGTCGATGTGGAGAGGTAAGGCAAGGTAAGGTGAATCGACATTGAAGAAATTGTTAAATGGAATTTCAGATTAGTTGGGCACTTTCAAATCTGGAATAGTGCCATAGTCGTTCTTTAACCTTCAGAACAGTCCTGTCTGGAATTTTAGTATACATTAGTATAGAGATATCTTAAATTCCTTCACTTCCTTAGGACATGTATTAATATCGTTCCTAGGATACTATACAAATGCTGTGCGATAAACCATTAATTGCTTAAGGCACATAAGAAACAATGACCCCATCCAATATAGGTAACGACACCTATCGCAGGTAATTACATTAGAGATAGGTAAATGCAACTGGTATATGGTACATTTGTATATACTCAAACAAAGGAAAACATCTAACACAGATGACACAACAAGCATACCCTAAGTAAATGTACCTAATACAGGTAAACTTTTCCAATATTGATAAAAAAAAACCTGCATCAATAATGTGTCTCTTGACTATCAGTTTACGTGGAGAATAACCAAATCAATTTGATGAGATTGTAGAGGTGAAATATATCTATAACAGTTACATGTACCCTATTACACGTTTAACACCCTATACTAATATTCACAAACACACGTATTAGGGAACGTCTCAATCCTGGGAATATATAAAAATGTACAATTGCCTTTTTTCCAATAAATATCTTTAGTAACATAGAGATATTATACTGTTTCTCCAAATCTCTTTTGTCTATTATTCTTTTTGGTAAATCTTTACGATATTGTGATAAAACGTCTTGAAAATTAATAAGAGGAACAATGTTTACAGGCATGCACGATCTAACACCAGACTGTCACTCGGGTATCGTTATAACCAACGTTTCTCCACCCCAGAAATATGTCGTTTACTTCAACTCTCTATCAGTTTAATTGGACTGTCAATGGATCGTGTGTCATTAAGTCCTGTTTCAAAGCATTAAAATCAATACAGAACATAGTTGCAACGTTTGACGTTTTCATCTTCATGAATTACAATTATGATTTTCCACGCGATGCCATATATATAAAAAACATTTTTTGAGCACATATACCAGCTCTGCAACCTTTCTATCTAAATACGTAGTTGTATAGATGCTATCATACATGTGATTCTGAACGCGGGCTGTCAACACCTATCAGTAGACGTAATGTGATGTTCTTCCTTTGGTAACTCAATTTAAAACGGAAAATAACTCTTCAATGAAACGGAAGTAAATTAATGGTCATGGGAGATAATTCTGTTGGAAATATCATTAGTTTTACTTATCCAATTCGCACAAGAATAGGAAAGTTAACCAAAAAGACAAGTTTATTGTACAAAAGACTAGTTTGTAAGAAACGGCATCGATCATGAGGGAGAACGCCTGGTACAGTGCGGGAAAACTGTGGGTAAAGGCTATTTATAGTTTTCCCTGCATTTATAATTGCCTACTTATTCATACTTCATACCCACATTCAAATTCAATGGTTAACCTTTCAGATCCTTTAGTACTTTCTGTTAATGACCAGACGGAAAGTAGTGCATGGCTTTCTAAAATTGGTAATAATTAGACAAATGCTCACCTTCCGCTTGGATTCAGTCATACGTTGGTCACGTGTTGTCATGGCCTCGCCCGGCGCCCTATCTATCCACATGACGGCGCTGATCCGGCCGTACGTAAACATGAGTATAACGAGGGGTATGAAGTATTGTAGTAACATGATCATTGTTCCGTACAAACGTTTATCTTCAGGATTCTCAAACATTTCCTGACAAAATTTCGGGGCTGTTGAAACATTGACGTATTTGTGTGTCCAAGAAAACATTGCTGTGGGTATGGGAATGATAAAAGCTATGAACCAGATCAAAGCAATTACGATGAACGCTTGTTTTTTCGACATTTTTTGCCGAAGTGGGTAAATAATGGCGATATAGCGATCCATACTAATAGCGACGAGAGTAAAAGAACTGAGAAAAACTGTCACTGATTGGAGGAATGTAACAACGGGGCACAAGACGTCGCCAAATGGCCAATAATTTAGAACGAGGTTGGCAACAAACGTAAAAGGGATGCACAAAAGGGCCATCAAGAGATCACTCATAGCGAGACTCACTATGAAAAAATTCATTACCGTGCGCATGCGCCTTGCCCGAAACACTATAAAACACACTGTCAAATTTCCTCCAACCGATAGAATAATAATTGCTGAATACATAGTGATAATAATGGCCTGGAGATAAATAGGAACTTGTAAAGGAGTATGACCAATAGTACTTCTTCCGTCCGCCGGAACACTTGCGTTCAAAAGAGGAGGGTTGATGGTGGCATAATAACCCTGTTCCGTAGGGGTCTCGATTCCAGTCTCTGTATCCATTGTAGTAGCCAGGACGTCCCACGCTATCTTCAACACGGATGTCAAGCGTCTTGTTTAGACATTACAGATGGTGGCCATCATTCAAGCCTGAAAATAAACAAAAAAAATTATTGAAGAATATATTATCAAATGAAAGTCAAATAACACACAACCCCGGAACCTTCGATAAAACATGATCTCCCTGTAGATTCCCAGAACCAATAAAAAGACTGAAATAACGTATTAACCTAATAATAAGTAACATAAACAAAACATCTGACGTATATCATTTAATTAAGTGGTCTATATCTAGCTGTGTATAAACTAATAAACGTATGTCGACTCACCCCCTCTCGGTCGGAGATACATAACGATTCTACTCAGGTGCGCTACAGTATCAGACATATTTATAGCAATCTCGAATAAATAGGAAATTAAGCAGCAATTAGGTATATCTTAATACACGTATAGCATTATAAACTAAAGACAATTAGGCCAGGATGAGAGGCCCCACAATGTACTCCGTATGTAAATGTTGACTTCCAGCGGCGATCTGGTGCTAGCGCGGCCTATACCTGCCACTCCGCTAACCCTGCCTGTCGTAATGGCCTGCCGCATCAGGATAGCCAGGATACTGGTTAGGCTAGGCCTTTTATATCTGATGCCATCTGATGGCTTAATTGCTCCCGGGAACAGCGATAGCATTTCAATTTTTTTTTAATAAGAGAGAGGATCAAAATAATGTCTTCCGTTAACCCTGTCAAGTGTTTCTCATCTTTGTTTGAACCCATGGAGGAATTAGCACCAGATTTCGGAATTATAGTCTGCCTTAAATACAAAGTGAGCACGGCGTGTGTATATAACGAAATGTATCATTTTACCTTCAAACGCTTCGACACTTTATATATTAAGTATAGCCCACAAATATATGGTTTCTGTAATTAAAAGTTCCCTTGAGAAGTTTTTCATCTTTTCTTAAATCGAGACTATCTTGACCAAAGTTTTACAAAGGTTTCCAAGTTTGATCAAATCAGATAGCTTATAAAAGATGCCCTCATCTTTCAGATAAAAATTAGGAATGTCATGCTCTTCTTATGAAAAAACATATAAGACGCTCCTTTATATAGATGTAGGTTAGAGTACGGCCGTAAGTTTGTTCTTAACCGACGGATTCGGGTCCAAGTCTTCGTTTGTATAGAATGTTAGAAGATACAGGTTCACAAAAATAACAAATACTTAGGTATTGGGTGATATGCATAAATAAAGGGTATTTATGAAACATAAATCATGGTCTGTGTTTACAAAGACTGCTTGATATACAAACGTTTGAATTTCATTTGGACATCTTGCTCAGTGACTGGTCCTGTTTCAGAGATAATGATTATGATGATTATGATGATGATGAGTGGGAATGAAAAAGAAAATGTTGAGTGAGAATGATGATGATGATTATTTATTATGCCATCTTTGTTACATACATTTTGTACTGAACCACTATGCTGTAAAGCTTACGGAATAAAATAAACTGAACTAAACAGAGATTTAGTCTTTGACAAACTTGGTAAAAAAAGCCTTTGAGTTATACGTACATCATTATTTATGGTTTTGATTCTAGATGTGGTTTTGTAAGCGCCATACATAGAGCAGTGGTCATAAGACCTAGTATTTGGCCGGTATTACAACTAAAAGTAGTTCCAGTTGGTCTCGTTGGAACATTGGCGATGCTATTAAGCACTTAGTTTTTCTCTAAGCGCAGATATTTGTAGTCCGGCAATGTATTGAACGCGTTGATATGAAAGTCCCCCTTCATCACTTTTGTAACAATTTCAAATGATGCAGCGTCCGCTTTAGCTTCTAGGTTTTCTCTGTATTTGATCCTCGGAATGACACAGGTACACCACTCCGTCTTATGACGTCTGTCGTGTCTTATGAAGACATAACCGTGACTGAAGAAAATTTCACTTGGATGAGTATTATTTATGTTTAACAAAACTTAACAGCACGGGACTTACAGTTCAGAACTTGAAACTTGATTTCAACAAATTATTTAGGTAGAACCTCACATTCATGAAACAAATGAGTTTTTTTTTTATCGCGTGGCAGAAGTGTTGCTGTTTTTGTGTCAGTGTCATGAATCTTCAGACAATAGGGAGTGTCCACTAGCTAGAAGGTTATGTTTATTTCAGTAATATGAATAATCTCCACAGAGTACGTCTACGCTCACAAACTATACAAATAAATCGTAATAGGAACAGTTCAGGTGTGTTGAGATAATCCCTTCATTTGACACAGGGTTAGTGCCTCAGGGTTTAGGATGGAGTAAGATAGCAATGGACGGTAGCAATAGTAGAACAAATATTTATTTGTACTCGCTTGACTTCTTGTTAATGTATTCTCTGATATTTAGAAAAGAACATATGTTATCAATTAAAACATTCCTTGTCATTTTAGTTTAGACTGGTACCAACCAATGGTTTCTCAGTAGACGGATATGCCTGTCTGCAGAGCATTGTTGGTAAATATTCTCTTTAAGGTTTATTTATGAAGACAGCACTTGTCAGGAAATGTATCAAAAACATCCTATTGTGATGACCATATTGAATAATCGTAATAGTACGACCATTGCCAGCTTCAAAACGGTTTGATAGCGGTACTAGACTTGTATATTTCAGTTATCTTCTAAACTCGATTGTCAGCGATTACTCCATATATTCATGTATTCATCTTGCAAATATCTCAGATTCATTCCTGGAACTTTATATACCAAAACCTCAACATACAGAGATAACACATACCAAAACACCAACTCACAAAGATAATATCTACCAAAACACATCAACACACAACGATGATATATACCAAATCACCAATACACAAAGACCATATGTATACAAAATCATCAATGCACATAGATAATATATACCAAAACATCAACACACAACGATGATATATCCCAAATCACCAATACACAAAGACCATATGTATACAAAATCATCAATGCACAAAGATAATATATACCAAAACATCAACACACAACGATGATATATCCCAAATCACCAATACACAAAGACCATATGTATACAAAATCATAAATGCACAAGGATAATATATACCAAAACATCAACACACAACGATGATATATACCAAATCACCAACACACAAAGACCATATGTATACAAAATCATCAACACACAACGATAACAAATATCAAAACATCAACATACAACGATAACAAATATCAAAACATCAACATACAACGATAACAAATATCAAAACATCAACATACAACGATAACAAATATCAAAACATCAACATCCAAGGATATTTTGTACAAATAAATCAGCACACAAAGATAATATATACCAAATCATCAATACGCACAGAAAATATATACCAAAACATCAACAAACAAAGACAATATATACAAAATATCAGCACACAAAGATAATATATACCAAAACCTCAACACACAAAGATGATATATACCAAAACATCAACACACACATTTATTTTTTACCAATACATCAATACACAAAGACATTATATACCCAAACATCAAAACAAAGATAAAATATACCAAAACATCAACACAAAGATAATATATACCAAAACATCAAAATACAAAGATAATATATACCAAAACAGCAACACACAAAGATAATATATACCTAAACATTTACACACAAAGATAATATATACCAAAACATCAACAGACAAAGATAATATATACCCAAACATCAACACACAGACAAAACATATACCAAAACATCAATACACAAAGATAATATATACCAAAACATCAACAAACAAAGATAATATATACCAAAACATCAATACACAAAGATAAGATATACCAAAACATCAACACACAAAGATAATATATACCTACACATTTACACACAAAGATAATATATACCAAAACATCAACACACAAAGATGATATATACCAAAACATCAACAAACAAAGATTATATATACCAAAAAATCAACACACAAGGATAATATATAACAAAACATCAACAAACAAAGATTATATATACCAAAAAATCAACACACAAGGATAATATATAACAAAACATCAACAAACAAAGTTTATATATACCAAACCCATTAACACACGAGGATAAGTTATACCAAAACATCAACACATAAAGATAATATATACCTACACATTTACACACAAAGATAATATATAAAAAAAAAAAACAACCCACAAAGATGATAAAAACCAAAACATCAATACACAAAGAAAATATATACCAAAACATCAAAACACAAAGATAATATATACCAAAACATTTACACACAAAGATAATATATACCAAAACATCAACACACAAAGATAATATATACCAAACCATCAACACACAAAGATAATATATACCAAAACATCAACACACAGACAAAACATATACCAAAACATCAACACAAAGATAATATATACCAAAACATCAATACACAAAGATAATATATACCAAAACATCAACAAACAAAGATAATATATACCAAACCATCAATACACAAAGATAATTTATATTTGCTTACCTTGCGAATTATATTGTATAGCATGAATAATGATAGACAATTCCTAGATTGGTAACTTAGGTATAGAGCATGGTTTTATATCCGCTGAACCAGTAAAGAAGAACGAATTTCTTTTGCGGTTTTACTTTGATATTCTTCAATGAATACTTTTATACTAATAGATAAAAGTGCTATTCTTATCTGGTGAAAACAGCTAATATATCTTTGGAACGAATATTATCAATGTGTGTCTCGTTAAATATCTCGGTAGTGGCGTGCTATCAAGCAACGCTGTTGGAAGTCAAAGACAAAACGTAGCAGAACTGTTGCACAATTTACAATCATTATCATAATTTGCTTTCAGAGGAACTGCCATCTTTATAATTTAGTCCAGCGCTGACGATTGCATGTCGCGAAACCACATTTATTCTGACCCCATGAAGGAAACAGAAGCTAACACGGCACAAAAGACTAGACAAATATATGGCACAGGACCCACGTTCATGACTATCAGAGACATTAGGACCCACATTTGTGACTATCAGAGACATCAGGACCCACATTTGTGACTATTAGAGATATTA